CATGCTTGGTGGTGTTTTCGCTTTCTCCGAAGAAGGTAAGAAGAATCCATCTTATAGCCCATAATATCTTCTTAATGAAATGAATCAACATTTTTGGATGGATTTTGTTCTGTGCAGGTTGAGTTTAGTTAAAATTTATGGCCAAGCTTCAAAGGAGAAGGGGTCACTTACTAATCCCATTTATGCTGCAACTTACTCACTGATGGTTCTTAATACCCTGAAGAAAAAAACATTTTAAAATCAATTCCCTTTTTATCATCTGTTTCTGTAAATGTTTGTAAATGGATTATTCCTAATCAACAGTCTCTTGATTTGCATGGACTGTTTTCTTTGTTTCTTTTGTAATTTTCTTCTCGTGTAACTTTATTCATTCATCGGAAAAAAGGCAAAAAAAATAGAATAAAAATTTGTTTCTTTGGGTTTTACTACTTTAGCATGCATCAGATGTGTTTTTTTTTTCCATTCTACTGTCACGTTCCTAAACTGGATAAAACACCAAAATTTGTTTAAATCTTAAATCATATTCTAGTGTTATTCAAGTGGATGTCACCAAAACTGGGTGAATTCAGTTCTTTTTTATCATTGAATACCAATTCGCCCAACACATGTTTCATATGTAGAGCCTCCTGTTAATGTCAAACAGATGATAACACATGAATAGAAGAAACTTTTTTTTTTTTGATAACTCAGGTAAATCCTAGGCCAAAGGGCCAGACTAATCTCTGAGGGAGCTGCTGCAGCCCATTGATAGACACTCTCCGGATATGCAAATGGGCCGAAAGCAAGGGTCTATATCCATGTGGGTGTCAAGATAATATGACTTAATTTCGCGTAGCAGGTGGATCGAATCTGAAATGTGTTGGCATCCCAGTCCCGTCTCCTTACCACTTGACACAGTGTCGAATAGAAAAAACTTGAGACGGGCTTCCTCGCTAGAATTTATGTCATTTAAATCCCCAATCATAAACTTTTAGCTAAGGTGATGAGTGATGCGGCTATGTGTTAGTGATGATCGATGGTGTTTCTCACGGAAGAAAAAAAACTTTTTTTGGTCTCTTTCGGCGTGGATTTGTTCCTTACGGAGTTCTCTAGTGAAATTTAAAAATAGTTGGGTCGAAATTTTCTTAAGAACTACGGAAAATGGCCAGAAATTTTTCTGATGTAGATGCATGTTCTTCACTTCTTATAAAAATGGTTATCGCTTTGAAATGGTAAACAAATAGATTTCAAAAAAAATTGTATTGAACTTTCGTTTTCACTTTGTAAATGGTTGAATACCTTTTTCAAATGAAATGAAGTTGACCAAAAAGAAGAGTGTTTATTTATATATATATATATTATCAAATTCTAAAACCTATAAAATTATATGTTACAAATAGAATATAACAGCACCATTAGTTTTTTTTGCAAAAATACTATTAAAATTTTTGAGTTTTCAAAAATATTACCAAACTAAATT